ATGGTAGGTACTTGATGGAGAGACAGTAAATGCAGATGAAAAAACACACATCTGCTGGAAACTCACATTTGTGCTGCATTGTGAAGGAAATCGGAGCTTGAGACACAGGGTATTTGTGTTGGACAAAATGATTTGCATAAAAGCTGGTAGTAAAAATATGAATCAAAAAAGTACCATTTTTTTTTCCTTAAACAAAGGCAAAGTTTAAATCTAATAATTCAAGTTCTGTGTATGTGGTTCCATGCTTTCTGATTCCAACAGGGACTTGAAATGGAAATGCCAAACCCGATATGCAGGGCATGATGGATCACCATGTATGCATAGGAATAAAAGGGTTGTCATTGGAAGTAATTTTGCGTTGAATTACACAATGTGTAATCCAATTGAAATCAGCAGAACGGCACAAGGTGTAATGTAGTGTGCAAAACGTGATCCATTGCATGCAATTTCAACAACAGGGATACTGTACCACTCATCTAAGTAATGTGCTAAAATTGAATTTATGAAAGGTAGGGGGAGAAGAATTGTGAAGAATGAATGCATTTTATAATTGGGAAATACTCTTTCAGAAGGTGACTGAATATATATTTTTAAGGCTAACTTATTACACTTGGAAATTGCTTCGTAATAGTGCTGTCGGACCCTCAAAATTTGGCAAGTTCCCTCACAGGAATAGTGTGGGACCAGCCAAGCCTGCTAGCCTGTGAGCACTCAGTATCCATTTTTCCCCATTGATGTGTGTCACATTATCTAATAGTGTTCCTAAATGAACTCTGTCATCATCAGTAAATCTTTTTCTCACGCCTTCAACCAACAGCATTTCTCCAGGAAAAGCAGCAGGTCTCACACTGGCACACTGGCGTCCCTTGGCACAGTGCCCTCTGTTGCCTGCAGGATAAAAAAAAATTTAAAAAAATGATACAAAAAATACTTTCCCTTGCTGTACTTTTGCTTAACAGCAGCAAATGTGGTAAGTCTTACAGGAGTGGAGTGGGCCAGGGGTTTAAAAAAAGTGGGTGCTGTGAGTGCAGTGTGGCATTTTGGAAGTGTTGGGGAAGGCTCAGCATGATCTGTGCTGCTCAAGCTCTTGAGCAGCCCCTTTGCCAGTGTCCTGCCAAAGCTGACAAGTGAGTTTATTCAAGGCTTGCAGTATAAACATAAGACACAGTTAAGTGGTTTACTCATTACATACGGTCTCTGCTGAGGATAAGGAAAATGCCATATGATACCTTTAAAACTTTTTAAAAATTGAGAAGTTGACTGGTGATGGTAGTATTTAACAAGCTGTGTTTTCAAGATGATAATCTACTGTCCAGTCACTTACTTAATGCTCTTCTGTTTGAGGATGCCGTTAATGCATATTTTTTCATTGAATTCTGCCTGGTACTCATGAAAATTTGAAGCTCTATGTAAAACATTCTAGCCCTTCGTGTATTTGGTGATAATCTGGAATAATTTTGTCCTTCCCAGGAATCTTATTTTAGATCTACATCTAAAATAACATAGATAATATTTATCTATACTTACAGTATAGATGATAATGTTAGATGTAAATTTCTAGAAGAAATCAATGCTTAAAGACAGCTGTGTGGAAAGGAGGACTACTCTTATCCATTCCTGGCTGCATCATTATGCCTGAATAGCACTTTGGGTCAAAATGATATCTGAGACTGGAATTTCATCTTTCTAAGATGCCTCTGTCTTATTCTATCTTATGCAAAAGGCTTTATGAGTTGCGTTAGTAATGCTCAGTAATGTTCTGCCTAGTTATTGGTAGAGACATGTGTGGACCACACTGCTGCCTGAAAAGGGAGAGCTGTTGCCTAATATGGCAAGTTTGCTTGGACCATAATCTGCATTCTCTCTTCTAATGAAAGCTGGCTCATGCCAAAACCCTGAGAGCAAGCATCACTCTGAAAACAAGCATCAGTAAATGCTTATTCAAACTTCTAGTAATAAGTCACCTAGCTATTAAAAATTCCTTCATTTTTACATTAGTCAGAAGCATTTAACAAATCCAACATAGTTTTGTCTATTCTTTCAGTAAACTAGAAACTTAGATCAATAGTACAATATAAATGGAATTGCCTGCCATTCAAATTCCATGCTGTACCCTTGATGTAATATTGATACGGACTACTTGATTTTTTTCTGGAGTGGAAGATGTTGTAGAAATGCATCTTAGTCAAGCTATTTCTGTGGTATTCTCAGGACATAGACTGTATAATTGACTACAGACATTTAGCTTAAAAGCCATTTTAGAGTTTCATCCAGTCCTAGTAATACGTGTGCAGTCCCATGGGCTGCATCCAAGGATTATGCTAATTTTATTAGTAACTCCTCTTGCTTTAATTAAACTGCATAAATTCCCACCTGGTCACTGTTGTGCCAACACCCTTCTTTCCATTTTTATTTTAATTTATAGATAATCTGTGTTTTTTTTTTTCAATTCAAGTTTTTTGAATTATCCATTCTGCTTTTCACATGAAATAACACAATTGTGAGGGGTGAATAGGGTTTCAAACCGCGTTAACGCGTTTGAGTGAACCTCTGGATCAAAGCAAAGACCTAAGTTTCTAAAGTTGACCAAATCTTTGTAGGAGCAGGTATTCAAAGTAACTTGCTCTTCAAAAGCACCAAGCTGTACGCTGCTGTTCAAAATACCTGCAAGCAAGCTCTGTATTAACATTTACTTTACTGTGTTTATAACATGAAGCAGAGCAACACAAATTCCTTAGTGGACTGTTAATTTACATGTTATACACTTTCAAATATTTCCAAAAGCAAATGTGAAATGATTAGTAATCTGTTCACATGCTCACAAAATGTTATTAGCAAATGCCTTGGGCAGTATGTTACGTTGACTAAAATTGATAATTTTGTATTTTAAAACTAAAGCAACTCTCCCTGCTCCCAACAAATCTTAGGACCTGTCCAGACCTCATGGTCACACCAGTTCTCAAGGTGTATGGGTGGCTGAGGCGGAAAAAAAGACCAAGCCCCCTCCCACCCTGCCACCACCTAAAAGCATCACTGAAAGCCTTCTGTGAACTCTTGCAGTTTAAAATGGCTTGTTATCTATAAAATCACCATAAGGATGTGACTCTGGCATTTACCACTCATTCTACCTATGTAGGTTTTAAAGGGTGTACATTGCTCTGGAGAAATCAAACCTGGTCCTTCCTTTTACTTCTGGTTAACTTTCTGTCTTCAGCTGTGTGCAGTTCTGACAGAGCCAAAGCCCTAGATGAAATGTCTCATACTCCTCAAAGAAGAGTTGAGGTTGTTCTTTTTTTAAAGAGGACCAAAGAACAAGCTGTTTAATGGTATTTGTCAGTGTATCCCTTTTTTTGAATAATGGTTTTCATGCCTTGCAGACTCAAATTTAACATGACACTTCTTCTTAAATGCCAATTATTCTGCCCAGAAGAGTTGCGCAAAAGTCTGCTCCTCAGAGTTTCACACCAGACCCACAGGATAAAGAGCATGGGGTATTAAAATTCAATAAAAGCTGTTGTGATATTAAGACTGTACAAAAAGCCTATGCTCTAGCTGAGTATTGCTTGTATGGCTGCAACATACTTTCCAGCAGTTTACATTTACAACTATGAAGTAATTGAATAAAGAAATGCATCATCATTTTCTTTTTTAGCACATGGGTGAATTATTTTACCAACATGTGAAAGGGTGTTCATATAACATCATGGTGCTTTGTGCTAGAGAAAAACAATTACAGTGAATAAGGTAGAATGGCTCTGTTATTGCAGTACATAAGACTTTGATTACATACTGCCAAGATTCATACCAGCCTAGTAGTTGTTGACAGATAAAGTAACAAAAATGAAACTCATTTATTTTTTCTTTATTGAGACCTCAAGGTAAAGCAAATTTTCAGTTCTTGTACTTACTACATTGAAGGAACAGAGACTGACAGTCAAAATGTGCCAGTCCAGAAATATAAATTAAACCTAGTTTCATATCAAAGTTTCATTTAGTCTCTGAAAAGGAGCTGCTGCTTGGATTATTTTTGATTCTAAAACAAATACACTGTAGACTACTATAGTGTATCTTGGATGAATTAACTCCCTCGTACATTTAGCTCTTATGTATTTTCCAGGATATAGACCTATGTCTATTCAAGCAACTTTATAATTTGTTATGGACTTAATTATTTGCTCTTTCTCTGTTTAGTACCATTGAATGTGAGGATGGTTTTAATAGAGTGTAGCACTTTTGCTGAAGGAAGGACATATTTTGAGGAAAAAGCCCTCCTTTCTCCCTTGTGTAAGGAAAATGATTCTGGATTTTTTACAGGCCGTTCCTCTAGGCAGCTAGATGCTGCATTATTCTTTTTTTTTTTTTTTTTTGGTAAACTTGATTAGTTTCTAAAGAGCAGATAAAACTAGCTGTTGGAATAGAAAGTGCTAAAATGAGTGGTTTTATCACATCAAAATCTTGGATTAGTTACCTAGCCCAACTGAATATAATTGCTGTTCAGATTAATGAGGCAGTATTCTAGTATCTCCTCTGTAATTAAACACTTCTCTGGTTGAATACAGTATTAAAGATGCACCAGACGTTGAAACCTCAGTGGTGAAATTTAAAACTGCTGAAATTGGAGGGGTCAGCTGTGAAACACAAATTCCTCTGCAGCATGGGTAATTCACTTGTGCAATGTGTTTCAAGAATAATTCAGCTTATGTTAGGCATGCTGCATTTTTAAAATTTGTCTTATCTTTCCATCATCTAAATTTAAGAATTTTTCTCATTAGTTGCTGAGAAAAAGTAACATAAAGTGGACTTGTTTCCAGAATTACCTTTTCTGACCTTTCACAAGATGATAATTGCAGTACTAGTAGGCTTAGAGGACTTGTTAAAAAAATTAAGCTTATAAAGTAGCAAAAAATGCCCCTTTGCTTGCTGGTGTCGATTTCAAAATTAACATTTTGGTTCATGTGCTTCTAATAATCGCTGACCCTTACTTCATGTGCTTTCCACAGGAAATGAATACAGCAGAAATTACTTTGACCCGTTGATGGATGAGGAAATAAACCCAAGGCAGTGTGGGATGGAGGTCAGTGAAGAAGGTGAGGCAGAATTAAGTATGTAATTTTTGTGTCAGAATATTCTTTTCCATTCATGAAAATGAGGTGACAAAGATCACATATGCAGTTCTATTTAAATATTGAGGTTTACAATTTAAATTATAAGCCTTAACTGCTCTGAACACGATAGGCGGTATATAGTCTTTGATCAAGGACAGTAAGTTAATGGACGGGTAAAAGTGAGGCTGTGCTGTATTCTCTCTGTCACCGTAGCAAAATGAAGCACACTTCGAGAATGTTGTCTACACCATGTTCTCTTTAATTAACTAAGTTATCCCAGAACTGAGTACTAAGATGTAGCCCTGCTCCCACAGTCCTTCTTGGAGAGCAATTTTATTACTGACCTAAACGTGTGTTTGCTTAACAGAAGGAAAGCCCATAGTCTGTAAAAGTTCCCAGCACATGAGGAGAATTTTTTGGATGTTTTTTTTTTGCCCATTTAGCTGAGATGTGTAACTTTGCTCTCTGTGGGCGATGGCAAGGAGTGGGAGGGTGGGACTCTGGGAGAACAGAAGTTATGCATAGGTATGAGAGAGATTAAACGGGAGGTATTGTCTAGTGGAGGAAATTCTCCTTTGCTGTCATGGCTTTTAGATAAAAAAGGGTGGGAGCGGGCCTGCCTGAATTTGCATGGACTTAAGTAAGAACATCATCATGGTAATGAAGTGCTTAGCTATGCACTGAATGCTTTGGCCCAGCTCCTGTTGTTAAGCTTTAACAACATGATAGCACGCAAGACCCAGTTCTTGCGTGTTACCTTCCTAGCCCTTCATTTTTTCAAACCTTGTGCTTCTTTGTACTACAGAGACTCTCTAGACACACGGTTGTAGTCAAATCTAAAAAAATCTGTCTACTATAATGGGTCTTAAATAAGTCATTTCTGAAATTCACGAGAAACTTTGAGTAGATATGGAGGTTTAAAGTTTTGAGGCAAAAAATTGTGTGACTGAGAAAAACAGTCTCTAATGCACATCATTAACTTGAATTTCTGTGTACTGATGAAAAAAAAATCAAGGTTTACCGTGGTTTACCAATGGCGGAACAAGATGAAGAAATCAGGGCATACTTTAAAGTTACACTCTTCTTATGACTTAAGCAAGTCAGGCCCAATGCCCAAAGAGAATAGCTGGTGAAAAGCAAATCTTCAGCCACTAACTCTATTATACAAAGTTAAACATCATTTTAATGTATTCATCATATGGGATTCTTTAATAGGTTGTTCTGTGAAATTAAAGATATTAGCAATTATCTTTTCTATATTTGATAAATTAGTTTTTTTCTGTAAATTTGTCTGAGTTGATAATGCCATGAGAACAAACAACACCCCACTATGGATTTGCTTCCACATCTTCACCAAGGGAACATTTCAGTGTTACATGCTAAAGGAAATGTAAAAGATTCTGTATTTGCAGAATAGGTTTGCAGGTTTCCCTCTTTAAATGCTCAGTGTAACTGAAAAACTTGGCTCTGAAATTTAATGGTAAAGAAAATTTTTTCTTTGAGATTCTATCTGGCACTTAAGAAGAGTCACCCAAGCTCACTTGTAGAGGTACTTCAATGCATCTAGCTTGTATGTATTTCTTTGGCCTTCTTCCTGCTTGTTTTTACTGACAATTTAGAGAAGCCAGAGTCTGGGATATCTGGAGGGAAGACTGTCTCATCTGGTCATTTTTCCCTTGAATATAGACACTTGAAGTTATTTTTTTAGGTCTCATGAAAAAAAGGCATGTATTTGTGTGTCCCTTGCTCCTTTTTAGAATCTGCAGATGTTACTGGGAATTTGAATGACTGACCAGCTACAAAACCAAAACTCATGGTGTGCTGTAATGACTACTCATACTAGATAAAGTGTTACTATTACGGACAGCAAGGTAAAATTTCTAATAAAGATCAAAAATCACATTAGAAAACTAATTAGGTAGTTCCGATTTTTATTGAGAGTCAAATAAAATTCATCTGGTAATTTGAATATAAATAATAATTTCAACTAGTCTGCTAGCAGAATTAGTAAATCAGTTTCAGTCCAGATCAAGATATAATACTGCTCACCATTTGAAAATATATGATTATATATTTTTTATTTTAAACTGTCTTTTACAACTCGGAAGAAAATTACTGTCACCTCTGCTATAAAACTAGCACTGTGAAAAGTATTTTTAAGTGTCAAATGGTTTCTTAACATTTATATCTTTATAGTTTAAAATAGTGTTTCCTAAAATACTACTAGAAGAAACAATAGATGCTTCACTCTTGTTTTTTTAAGATCCTGTGAAATTTGATGAGCAAATGCTGTACAGTAAACTGTTGAAGCTTCTAGATGAAGAAAACAAGATGCTGGACTTCCAAGGTAAATACAATAATTTGCATAAAGAAAAATAAAACTCATTTGAGTCTGGATGCGGGAGGAAAGTGGGTAATCCATCCCCTTGAACTCAGAAGTGAAAGGGACATTGATTTTAATGTGAGGTTGTAAGATCTTTTTCCCCAAATGTTTTTGTTTTGAGTCATGTTTATGTGGTTTAAAGTGTAACTTAAGTGGCGTGCTTTCTCTAGGCTGCTTCTTTGCATGTTGAATTCCACCCTTATAAAAGAAGACTGGAAATATCATTGCTTATGTGCTCAAAGATAGAAATCTAAATTCTCATGTAAGCTCATAAATGGGTGGGCTATTTGTCAGATGCATGGGTCATGTCACACGGTGTTGAGGTTATCTACATAAGAATTTACACTAGCAGGTGAGTAAGAAAATGTTTTTTGTGGCTTTGTTAGCAAACACAAATTGATGTTCCATGTACAGTAAAAAAAAGTATAGAAGAGAGTTCTTCACCTCAAACCAATAGCCTTACTTTGGCTTCACTTATTTTTACAGGCATTATTTAACACCCAGTTGATTCACAAGACCTGTTATCACCACAGCCTTTAACACAAGGTGCATGTCTGCTGCTCTCCTCTGGTTCATCCTAGGAGAAGTGACATATGAACAAGCCCCAGCTCAGGACTGCTCTCATATTTTTGGTTATCGCCCACCTTGTTTTTCAGCAGAGGTCTTTTGTGTAAACGTATTTTCTGTTCTTTTTATGCCTATGAGGGTTTTTGTTGTATTTCTGTTATACACAGGACCTACTCTGTCAGAGAGACAGAGCAGGTGGTTGCCTAAGGCACTGGAGCTCCAGGAGCTGCAACATGCTTTATGACTTGAGCTTGTGAGCAACTTTGTTCTGGAGGAGGCAAACATTTTCATTTGCCTAGGGTTGCAAAATCCCTTGAACTGGCACTGGCCATATCAGTAACAACGTTGAAACCCATTTTGTCTTATTTTAAATGCAAGGAAAAGAAAGTACACCTATCACAACTAAATTCATGCAGATTAAGCAAAAGCCTTTAACATATTATTAGCAAGCTCTCTGTTGTTGCATGTTAATGTAGAGCTCCACATTGCTGAGAAAGATTATAGCAATGCTGCAGGTTGGTTGTTGCTTTCATCTTGCAACAACATAGGTTAAAATAAAACCACGTTCAGCTGTTAAGTCAACATTATATCTATAGGAAAGAGTGACATGGTGTCTCTAGCTGTGGTACTTATGTAGTCCCTGTTTACCAATATTTATAGCATTTCATATTCTTCAATATCTATATCATCAAAATAACCCTGTATGATTAAGGAAAATGTCCTGATGTCATTTTACAGTGTGCCCCAGGGTGGGGTCTAGTACCCCTTCCATTAGCTTTCTGAAAGTTATGTTGTGGGGCTCCCCCAATGTGGTAGGGGAGGGAGAGAGAAGGACCTCTGGGCAGTGGTTCAGTCCACCTCATGTAGACCCCTCTTAGCTGATTAGACAAATTACACCCTGGAAGCAGTTCTTCTCTTTCCTTTGGCTCTAGAAGGGTCTTGGACAACTGACTTAAACTTGACTATTGCTTTTTGAATAGCTAAAGGTAAGTAATATAAATTGCAGTGTGTGTTTGTCCAGTTTTAAACAAGGGAACCAGGGAGTGAAGGAGAAGACGTCCCCATCCATCTGTGGTTATTCTCTCATTCAGCTAGGTGCCCTAAATCTTTATATTATATTGCAAATAACAATAATGAATATTGTTAAGATGAGCAGATGCTTTACAGAGGATAATAGCAAATAGCGTATTTAGAGAGAAATAAGGTTTCATTGATCTCCTCAAATGTTTGTAATTTAAACTCACCAGGTGTGTTTGAACTGAAAATGTCTTTCTCTATATCAGGCTTTTTCAAACCACCACAAGAGGCAAAACGCTTTTACTAGGGTTTGGCTGCATGAGGTGTAAGACAGGTTCAAAGCTCTCCTCCATCCAACGCCCTTTGAACATACATGATGTTCTTTGTGGACGGTGATCATGCACTGAGGATGCCGAGGTTGTTGAGCTGCTGGATCACTGATCCAAGGGCAAGCAAACGCATTAACACGACTTGCACTCCGGGTGCCTGCCAGAGCCCCCATGTAGGCATGAAGGCAGTGAGTAGCAGAGACACCGCAACCAGCTGCTGTCTTGTGTCTTGAACAAAGTGCCATAATGGGTACCAGAGCTAGTCCTGTGGGTGAATGTTGTACCCCATCCTAGCTGAATTTTTCACTTTACTTGACCAGGGAGAATAAAATCCAGGAAAGAACAAGATTTTCCTGAGGAAGTGAGGTTTGTGAAGCCTCCACCTCTTGCGTGTGTTTTTCAGGCTCTATTTATTTCTGCCTTTGTGTTTCTCCCTCCCAATTTTTGAACCTGTTGTTCTCTTTCAAACCCTTTTTTTAACAGAGAGCAAGTCTCACGGGTCTGACTTCTCTACCAGTTTTATGGAAGTGGGCAGCTGAGCAGAGCAGACAAGCATTATTAACGTCTCCACTGAGGGAAAAGCTAATATGGGAGTTTGACCCTTATTAGACATCAGAATATCCATAGAAAACTAGGATTCACTTGGTTCCACTCTTACAGAACTGCTTCTTTCTTCATGTGACCACTGAGCTGAAAAATCACGTAGTCATTCAGTCCTAATTAATAGATGATCCCCAAAGGAAAGGAAAGAACATGGCTCAGAATTTATATAATTGTATATTTTAAAAACATTTTGTTGCTGAGTAACTTGTTGGTCACTCCTCTGGTACATGTTAGTTCATATTATAAAAGTCAGCTCAAAAGGCAACATCAGTTTGATTTTAGATAAAGATGTAGACTCTCTATTTTTTTACCTAGGAATAAAATTTCTCAAACAATGTAAAATTGTGATCCATGCACATCTAAAATGATTCTAGGTGAATAATATAAAAAGTATTTTCTATTATAACATTTTTTGGCAACAACCAAAAAATTGAAGTGCAATGTTATGCAGCATTTTAGTTGTTTGAAACTGATGTGTATGAGCCTCTGGTAATGTAATTTTTTAGCTACAATTTATACTGAGAGTCTTCTAGAACTGGGCAGCCAAAATGCATTTTCCATGTGGAGTTGATAGCTGCTTTACACATTCAAACCTATGCTGAAGTGTAGTCTGCTGGTGAACCTACTCTTTAAATTCTCAGTATATAAACCACTGCTATCTGATGGACAAATGCAGAAGTAAATGAAATTACAAGCAGTCAAGATAATACTGGAGAGATTGTTTTAATTACAGCACAGCATCGGCAAATACAGCCTGTGCTAAAGAGAAGTGATTCAAACTGTGCAGAAAGTTTGACTTGCAGTGTTAAGTACAGTTGAGCAATGAAAAGTTTGACACAGATGCTCACAACTTGAAGCAGTTAGTTTTTCATTAGTTTATCGATCTATCAATGAATTTCCTCATAAATTTTCAAGCATTTCATCCTGTGTGTACGAAGTAGTAACATGTTTAACACTGTGGCTACTTCTGTACAATGAAGTGAAGGCTTTATTTTGGTCAAGCATTGCCCTGGGGCAGCAGCTCAAGCCTCTAACCTGTGGGTCAGTTCAGAGAAGGAGCAACCTCATGGTGACTGAGTTTCAGAGACTTCTTTGCAAAGTCAGCATGGAAGCAATAGACCATCTGAACAATCCTCTTCTCTCCCTGTCTCCAGCTCAGGCAGATGAACAGTTTTTCCAACTGTGCCTAAATGAGAATATGTATCTTTTAATTGAATATTTTTCAAATCTGAATCATAATTTATCTCAGTATTTTTAGCAGTTACTTCCCTCATTTTGAAAATGTTCTCTCTTATTTTGCTCTCTTCCCCAAAACATATGCTAATGAGTCCAGTGTCTTCCACAAAAATTGAGTTCACTTGCTAAGATTCCTCACAAAAATAATAAACAAAAAAAAGGATATTTTGATGAATCACTGCATGGTTGTATTTGTGAACCAAATTATTATTATTATTTATTTTTTTAATATAGGACTGTCTCTCTATATCTAGAGGATCCTGAGGTAGTAATGTAGTCTTCCCAGGATTCAAACTTGCACTGCTCCTGTGAAAGCAGTAAAGCAGCTTGATTGATACAAGCTGAGCAAATGGCCCATTGTGTACAACACAGCATCGAGGGGAACAAGTAATGCTGCGTCTTCTGCTGTTGGCAGTTTCCTTTTTGAGGGCTTCCTGGATATTCTCTCTCCTAGCCAAACTGTTAATGTTACAGTAAATTTAAATGTAAATATTGTTTTGTTCTTGCAGTTAATAGTTGTAGGTCAAATCACTTTTCATTAGGCTTATTAGATGCTACATGAAGAGATTGTGTACCCTAAGGTAATGGTTTAGGTTGTTTATATCTACTGTACACTTCCTCCAACATGATTTTGAATTGTATCCTGTTGTAATTAAATAAAAAACCCACCCTACTTCCTGTGTGTTGGTGGCACTGAGGTGATTTAAGTACTCAGGAGGCTCAACAATTAAAGTCATTAAACAATGAGTAGTGAGCAAAACTGAAAATGTTAATAGCCTTAGTTTTATCTTTCCTTTTCTGGTCTTCATTAGAGAACGAGAGACTTCAAAGGGAAGTGGGGAAAAAAAAAAGAAATCTTTTAACTGCTTTCATGTCTTAGGATGGACAAAGAGAAAAGTAAATAACCAGATATGGCAGTTTCTTGCAGAGAAAGGCATGGAGAACTAGAAAAACTTACACACAGAAATATGACGCAAGAAAGATAAAGTCAGATGGGATCAACCTGATATCTATCATTTCTTAGAGATCCTAACATGGAGAAATGAGCAAAAGTAGTTGTCTTTAATACTAGTTTGGGTAATAAATAATAGTACTGTAACAGGTATCAATAAGAAGATCTGTTTTTTATGTAGCGTGATGAATTATACTGAAAAAAGAACCCAGCCTCTCTTTAAAGTTGACTTTATGAATGGGATTTATTTTTATTTATGTGCAGCACATACCCTTTGGTTCTGCAACCGTCACCACAGTGAAATCAGAGGAATGATGTGGGTGAGAGCAGAACCGAACCAAATTAATTAGACAGAAGCTGCATGCACACACCTAGGGGAGGAATCTGATCCTCTGGGGTGAGTGGGAGGAAGATGAAATGCTCAGTGCGGCTCTGCCTAAAACTCCCTTTCAATTGCAGTTATTCTTCCTCTTCTTCAGAAGTGAAAGCCAAAGTTATGCCAAATCCACGTTCCTTTAAGATTTAAAGGGGAGCTAAGTGACTGTGGAAATGTAGAACGCCACTTTTTAAAATTACTTGAGGAATAAGTTGCATGTGCTAAATTTGTACCTGTATGCCGATGTTTCTCTTGAGGAGAGTTTTCCTGGTAATGGCACTTAGAACCCACCAGTTCTACTGCTGTTATTTAATTACTGTTCATTTTATGTCATGAATTGTTGTCTTAAAAGTGTTGGTGGGCCAAACGTGTTAACTGAGAAGGTACTAACCAGTGAATGAACTCCCATTTGTTAAGAGATAATCTGCCACATTTTTTTCAAGCAGGCTGTGTTGCCAGTGAAGATTTTCCAGACTCTGTGATGCCTGTCAGCTTCGGTAAGGCATGTGACCTTCACAGGGAGCTTGAAGATGAAGAGATTCCTTCATATATTGAACAGTTTGAGAGAGATGTTCAGGATGACATAATTCTGCTTGGCAGCTTTTCACTGGAACAGGTCAGAGTTAAGAACTAGAAGACAATTTTATCGCTTGCTTCATAATGTGATGCTGGCTTGTTAACCTTGTACACCCCAATTCTATTTTACTGCCCAGCAATACATATACTGAAAAGGGGATAAGATAACCCATTTTGTTGGCTTGCTTTATGTGACTAGCACTTTGCTAAGCTAACAGCAGGACCTTTATCTTTGTCTCCATTTCAATATGAATAAAACCAGATTGCCTTCGTTGCTTCTTTCCTAAATAGTGGAGTGTCTCTGACTGCTCTGCAGTAAGTATTGCAATTGAGTTTCAATCAAAAGCCTAAGCTTAGGACATCTCTCTCTGCCAAATTCAACAGAGGCTTATTCATCTATCAATGAACAAGTTTGGACTGGAGTCCAGGAAGGATTTATGTAGCAATATTTATTGTACAGAAGATAAGATTATTCCCAAATTATAAATCTGTTGTGTTTTTCAGGGTGAAAAAGCTTCCTAGGGTTTTCTTTTTGTCATTTCATAGGTAAAGACAAGGTAGTGTTCATGTTGACAAAGGCACAAGTTTTCAGGGCTGAAATGGTACTTGTGGGCACCTAACTACCATTTGTCCCTTTGAAAAATCTCATACCAAGACTAGGGGACAGGAAGAGAGATTAATTGACGAATCTATCATTTTTAATTAGCAACATGAGAAGAGCGCACTGGCTCTGATGGGCTTAAAATAGGTTATCCAGTGACTGATGGTGATGTAAGCTTTTTTTTTATTTTCAGAGGAAGTTTTTAGAATTTTCTCACTGCAGGACTAAGCCTCATCATTGCCTTCTGCATGTTGGTGAGGGACACAATTTTTTTCCTTGCTGCTTTCCTCTAAATCCTTGTGTAGCTGTATTTCATTCCTTCTGACCTTTTTGTAGCTGTATGCATCATGAATAGAAGGTGGTTTGGGGAATATTGTTCAAAAAACATGAAATGGGAGGGAAATATGAGGGAAAAGGACTCAGATGGTGCTAAGAGCATCATCTGCCTTAAGAGACTGATGGAGTAGGAACCTAGAAACAGGTGAACAGAGTACTGCACTTTTTCAGAAGACTTTATAATATGTTGAGAGTTCACACTTGAACTAAGTTTGGGCTATTCAAATGCCCTCAAAGCTTCATGAGGCTCTGTGACACCTGAAGGAACACAACAGATTTGTCAATCCTTTATTTACTCTCCTTCTAAACATGGTCACTGGGAAGCTGATCATCTTGGACTCTTTGTAGAGGTGTTCAGCAAAGTTTGTTTCCTAGACAGGACCAAGTTATCTGGTCATCCCAAAACGATGTCCTGCTTTTTAACTGACAAGTGCATATGTGAATCCACATGCAATACAATATGATACCACTTTTATTCCTTATTTTCTCCCAGAAGAAAAAAAAATCCTCATTTAATATGATTGATTGAGCTGGTCTACCATGAGCTTACAGATAGGAACTCTATACTGCACAAAACAGGTCTTGAATGCCTGTGTTTTCTGTCCCACAATTCCTCCCACACATTTCTAACTTCAGTTGTCCATGCCCTGTTTAGGAATTCAATTATACTGACATAGTATCAACTGTCACATCTGCCTCCTGCAATGCGGAGTTTCACAAGAGAATCACTGTAAAATTTATATTGTCTTCTAGATCAGTGATGTGTATACATCCATCCTTTCCTTGGAAGCACAGAGAAATGGTGCATTCAGCCCCTCTGAACAGAGAATGGAAGGTGACATTGGAAGTACAGGCTGCAGACATGCACCTCACGTCATATTGGTATTCAAAGACATCTAACAATAATGTGAACATGCTTATTCTTCTTTAATTGACCTTCTTTATTTTTTAATGGACTATTTTAACTCTGTGATCTGTGGATATACACCTGCAGCAGTGACTGTTGATGCCTTTCTGCAGCAACTACAGGTTCCGTGTTAGACTGCTGCTATGGTCTTCAGAATCTGTGCCATCTTTGGGATGCTTTCAGTTTTTGTTGCCTGAATTTATGTTTATTGGTTTAACAAAGTCTTTAATTTGCTGTATGGCATTTACTTCTTATTCAGAAAAAAAACCCTTCCTTTCCTTCTGCACATTTAGTGAGTAGCAGATGTACTTTAGCCAGTGTAATTTATGATTAGTTAATTTAATCTGCCATAATGACATAAAGTGAGCCTGAAACAAGCTTCTATCAATTTTGCCGTTAGAGGTAACATAATATTTTCAAATGTCTACCAAACTGAGTAATTAACCCTCAGGCTGAGTGAAGGAGTCTAGTAGACACCTCTCTCACATTCCTTTGCTTTGACAAAATGAAGACAAAACATGGGAGCCCAAGGGTTAAAAATAGCAAGGGAGAGTTTACAGTATATGCAACTGGTTTTATAAGTGAGGTTCAGAAACACACTTGCTGCTGTTTATTTTTAGGGTGCCAAAAATTCTCTCCAATGAGGCATCTGATTTGCACTAGAGCTTTGCGGGCAGCATTGGCACAAAGAGGACAGCTATGTATTAACTATCTCTCCCTTAGTTCATTGCTTTTCTTCTCTGCTTTGTAGCTTTACAGTCAATGGGTGGTTTTTGTTTAAACAGCAGCTCAGTGCATGAGATCACCATTATTAAAAATTTTGAAAGAGCAGATACATTTTCCAAAATAATAATAATAATAAAAAAGGTTTATGCAAGATTTTAGCTCTGGAACTTTAAGCTGCCTTGTTACTTACTTCATGTTCTGTTTTGTAAATGCAAAAACTGATAGCTGAGGTTGGCAAGAAATACATAATCTGATAGATTCTTGTAAAGAAGGCATTAAGCAGATGTCAGTGTTTTGTTAACCAAACACATTAAAGAATATTAAATTTGGAAAGAAGTACTGTTTCCTGTGGCCTACCATGTAGGCCTACAGATTTCAAAATCCCCAGTGACATTTGCTTTTAATAAAGAAAAATAAACTCCACTGAGAGAAAATAATAACTTTAGGACTGTGTTGTGGTAGAGCTGAGCAGGTACATCCAAGGCTGGGTACGCAGAATGCTGCAGAAAACCATCTGTCATGAGACAACACAGGGACACATGCTTATAGGCAAAACTTGATCTTACAGAGAAGAGAAATATGCAAGGAAAGACCTGATCTGATGCTAGCTTAACATGTTTGATTAAAGGTAAGATGATAGCAAACATGAGAGGCTGCTGAGGATGAAGCAAACACTGGTGATCGGGGTGAGTTTGCACTTGATGGGCCTTTGGCAACATAATCTTGCCTGCCATTAAATCAAATGCCATGGAAATATACCAGCTGTAGGATTTTCAGCTGTTTCTGAACCAAGACAATAAAAATGACTACTCAGCTTTATGTAGATTCTCTCAGAAAAAAATAATACGGGGGCAATTGGAAGGATCAATTCTGCCCCAGAAGTCTAGAACATCTTTCCTGCTTGGCCATCCTCTTCCTGTAACTTCGTTGGTATTCTTAACTAAAGGCAATTTGTTCACAAACTCTGTCTCTACAGGATTCAGCAGCTACATTTAGCCCTTTGTGCTGGGTGTAACACCTTGCAGGACTTGATCATTACAGCTATATAATCAGTTTTGATCCATGACCTCAATGTGAATTACTCAAGAGTCTCTGAAAGTAAAGTGCAAATTTTGCTCCTCAGTACCAGCAGTTGAGTTATAGTAGTAAGAAATGAGCTATTTGTTGCAGGTGGATAATAATAAAATGTTGCCTTTCATCAAGAGATTTACCTTTTGGTTAAACAAAGGTTAATGCCTCTGGGCATTAGACATAATATTCTTACAGGGTCAATATCATCACTGCTCTGAATTCTTGCCAAGTCACAGTGAGATCAATTTATATGACGATGGAGTGATCAGTTTTCCTTTGGTTAATGGTGGATAATACGTGGGTAAAATTTGATACTATGTAAGAGGACGACAAATCTATCCTCCAATCAGGAATTTAATCAGTGGGCCGCAGTCATATAAAACATTCAATGCACATTTGCTTGCACGTTCTACCCTGTTGCATAATACTGTCATTTATACCCTGGTGGTACCTGCAGACCTCCCCTCATCAAAGCCACAGTCTGCTAAACATTGCACAATCCTTTGTGATCATTCTTCATGAATATAATACTTGTGTGAATATGTGCACCTAAAAACAATGCAGAATTGAAGGTGGCTCTTCCTCAGCTGAAACCTGGCTACTTCTTTTTGTCATTTGCCAAGACTTCATTTTAGGTAAGCTACCTATATGCTACACTCATTATTTGAGTGTCAAAGCATCTCTACAGTATAAAGGTTTACATGTCATTTATGTGATATAGTAGGAATTATGGGTATCTCCATTTTACAGAGGAAGAACAAGGGCACAGATGGACTGAAATCTACACCAGTCAGAAGTGCTTAGCACCTCATTTCCTTTTGAAATCTGTCATTAAGCCAAGCTCATCAATTTTGTTATAGACCTGCCAGGTAGACTGTTCTTGGACCAGTGAAAAATCACTTCACTGAAACCTATGTTTGAGGGGAAAAACCACAAGGTGATTTTTGGGATATTTGGCTTCTAGCCCTTAGACATCTTATGTCCTGCCTAATGAGTGTCCATGGCCCCCAGGCGTGCGTCAGCACCTACCCAGCAGACCCAAAGCCTGACCAAGATGCCATTATGTGTAGCTAGGGGACTTCTCTACCCTGCAAGCTGGTAACCTGAGATTTCTAAATATCTTTATTCTATCAGGCGTGCCCCTGCTTTCTCACTGGGAAGCCTGTGAATTTCTAAGGTTCCTCCCCAGTTTCTTCTGGACACTCAGATATACACAATTTTTTTTTTTTTT